CCTATAGTATAACCCATATAGTTCTATAACAGCATTAAGAATTTTTAAATCTTTATCATAATAAGATTTATAATCACCAATAATTTGCTTATATTTGTCTTCTGTTGAAAATAGTCTTCTCGCTTTTTCTAAGATATATGATTTGGGATCTTCTGTTTGATGTAATTCTAGAATATGCTTTTATAATTCTACATAAACTTACCATCTTTTGGTCTTTCACAGAGAATTCCTACCTTAAGTATTTTGATTAAAGCCTTTTTGACTTCTTGAGAAGCAGGCTGATTAATAATATTATTCTTGATTATGAATAAGTTATCATTTTCTAAACTTTTATTTGAACTATTTTGATTACTCATTATATATATCTGCTACTATATTGCAGATAACTTTGTTTAATTAAATTTTTTCATCCCTATTGAAAATTATGGCATCTTATACTTGCAACTATCTTCATAACTCTAGTAAAATTTGTGGTAAAGCCTGTACTCAACTTAAAGAATGTCGATAACATTGGAAGATTAGAAAATGCTATTCTTGTACTGATTGTGAAAACCTACTATTACAGTTTGTGAGCGGTGTGCTGAATATATTAGAAGATACTATGTGATGCAATATTATAATAAATTATAAAATAAGGCTCAGAAATTAGACTTGATAAAAGGTGTGATTTAGAGGTGAGACTTGGCATATATACCTTAGAGGTTTAATTTTTTTGTCCTAGGGTTTTTGTAAAAAAAATAAGTTTGAAAGGTTTTCTGTATATTGAAAAATTGTTATCATATTAGAACATGCTCGATAAACTTTTGGTTTGCAAATTTATTATCCTTTAGAGATGCGATTTAGAGGTAAGACTTATCATATAGTATGCATTTTAAGCTTGCATAATTGGGTCTAACTCAAATCGCATCACTTTGTTTCTTGATTTTTGATGAGTTCTCTGAAGGTAAGCAAAATAGCATAAAAGTTATTATTCATATTGGATTTGCAATATCAGGCTCAGCTCAAATTACGTCACTTCATTCTTTGATTTTTGATGATCCCTTTAAAGATAAACAGAATAGTAAAAATTTTTTGATATATTATTTGGGATTAAAATTATGCTAGAATGGCTTTATCGAATAGTGTAATTCTTGGTATCAGACAGATTAATTCCTAACCAATTTTGATATCATAATCTGGATTTGAGTCAAAATAAGCTAGAAGCTTGAATTTGATAATTGACTCATATAGCTAAAATGGATTTGCGGGTAGACAGGATCTTTCTGAGTACTATTTGGAATTTTGTTCCAGAAACCCATTTTTGCAGTAGTAAAACTCTTAAAGAATACCTACAAAAGTAAAAATAATTAGATTATATAATAATAATTAAGTTATTACTATCATAATTAATTGCAAATTGTAATCAAATTAGTTGGTTATTAAAGATGCCTTTCTAAAATATTTTTAAGTTTCAAGATATTTGAGATTAAATTGTTTGTTTATAATAAATATATTTATCTAAACTTTAAATAGTTTTTCTAAATTTAATGAAAATTAATAAAGTTTCAGATTTAAGAAAAGTTCATTTTAAAGGTTTTAAAAAGTTTTTAAATTTTTAAACTACATATAAAATTAGGTTTCAAAAAAATATTATTATAGGTTATAAAGTTGTAGGTAGGTTATAATGAAACTATAATATAATTATATTATCTTATCTAATAATATAGATCATAAAAAATAAATAATATATACATATTTTTAAATATCTTTTTAATTTCTATTTCAAATTTTATAAAAAAACAATAATTTTTTATTAAAATAAAAAGTAAAAATAGATTAGATAATTAAACGAAATATATAATATAAGAAATAAGAAATATATTGTTTTCAGATTATTTAATAGAGAGATGTAAATTAATTATATTCCAATAATAAGTTTAATAACAGTGTTCTATACATCTTATGTAAAGTTAAATGTTCAAACCATTCAAAAACCATTCATAATATTAATTAAAAATTAATATAATTATTTATAAAATTAGGCATTAAAGAAAAAAATTAAAAAAAGAATATAAAGTGTTAAACGTTAAAAAATCATTATTAATTCGATAAAAAATATACAGAATAAAATATAAATCATGATGATAATTTCCTGATTGAATATTTTAATATTTTAAAAAGAGTTTTTTTTTAATTCATTAGTAATATATTTTAGTACATAAAAATAAGATTTTAACATCGCATAGGATATACAAATTGCTATACAATAAATTAAAGATTCTTTTGGAAATGGAGATACTTTATTACTAACATCTAATTTCCTCCTTTCGTTATATTACTACTATCAATTAAATAATAAAAATAAATAATAAATTTTAATGGATTTTGGTGAATGTAAAAATAATAAAAGTTCATTTGAAGCTTATTTTTTCGTGGCATTAGAGACGACCACTGGAACTATTTATTTAAAAAATATTATATTAAGTATATTAATAAAATATAAATTTCGAAATTTTAAAATTCCATTAATATTCTTACCAACAATAATGATAAGGATTATCAAAAGCGCAATTAAACCAAAAGCGAACCATCTTCTTTTAGAAATATCATTATACCAAGGACCAGGTTGTCTCCAAGGTTCAACATTTTCTTCGATACTATGAGTTTCATAAGTTGATAATTCTAAATCATTATTATTTGCTGAACGATCAAATCCTGATGATTCTGTGGTGGCTAAATATGAGAAAGGAGATTAAATATGCTTATTTATTATTATTATTTTTTTTTAAAAAAAAAATTATTTACATTTTATGTCTCTTGTTCCGCCATTAGGAGAACCTTCGGGTTTATCAATTTTAAAACTTATATTTTTTCCTTCACTTGTAGTAGTTCTAGATAAAGCTATTTTCTCTTGACTACCAGCTGTAGTTGTTGTCGTTTCTTCTTGACTCATAATTATTTTTTTATATATAAATATATATATTATTTAAAAGAGTATTCATAAAAAAAAAAGTGAAATTTTCACAAAAAAAATTTTTTTTTCAATTTATATTTTTTTAATGATATCATTATTCCAAAAGAAGAACAATTCGAATTTCATTATCATTCATCATTTTAAGGAGATATATAATGTGGTATCACATCATACTATTTGATGGAACTAAAATCATGCCATAATGATAATTCATGTAGTGTTATAACATATGATCGTGGTAAATGTTTTTTAAAGTTTTTTCTCGGCTAATTTTAATTCTAAAATAAGGATATTGAGCATTACACAAGTCAATTGTATAACATCTAGTCGGATGGGATTAACCAAAATAGGAAATCGCTTTAGAGATAACTCCGCAGAACCATATTTTACTTTTTTCTCCTTAAAAAATATTTTAATTTTTTGCTGTGTTATATTAATTGGATTTTTATTTTTATAAATAAAACATTAATAATTGATTCTATTTTTACTTTATTCAGGTTGCATGCATAATTATAATAAATATATTAATATAATAAAATCCTATTAAATAATAACTTACTAGGTAAAATTTAGATATTTTTATTATAATCATCTGAAATGGTATTTTATTGGTAATTTAGATAATAATAGATAGCAAATTTTTACTTTAGTTGTTAAAGAATTAGTTATAGCTTAGTTACATAAGTTTTTAGACTTTTTCAGAATAGAAAGTACTTTAAAATTTACACTAATTTACCACTTTTCTATTTCTTAACTAGTTTTTCTTGCATATTATAATTTACTTATTCTTCAATTTTATGAATATTATTATCTAAACAGAAATATTTTAATTACAATTATTAAAATAA